TTCAGGAGCAGAAAGCCTCATTGTCCTCTCTTATGAGTAGCTGGTGGGTTCAAACCATTGATCTTGTGGTTCCCTGTCCAGTGCTTATTATTCTAAAGAGTCTCTATGCTCCCCGTATAGACCTGTTGTTGTTAAGTGCCGTCGAGTCGATTCCAACCCATAGCAACCCTGTATAGGGTTTCCAAGGAGCAGCTGGAACCACCGACCTTGCAGTTCAAATGACTTCGCATTAGCCCACAGGGCCACACCAGGACTCCGATGGAGATTAAGTGGAAAAATAGTTTTTATATTTTTGTTTAATAAAGGTATCCATGATTTGGCAGCAATAACTGTTTGACTCACTCTCCTACACATATACAAGCATGTTTCCTGAAGCGCGGTTTACAAGAGCAAAAACAAACCAAACCAAAACGAGAAACAACCTGAACATCCATTAACAGGAAAACAGGTTAAGAGCCGACAGTTTCTCCATAGTACAAAATATTACGGAAGAATTTAAAAGAATGAGATGATGGCATATCTAACCAATTCTAGCAAGTATCTCCCCGCCCAGCCCCAGTTCAACAGCCTTGAATTCAGATGTGCCTCATTACTGATGAAATCATCCAATGGAATTTGCAATGGTTTTGCTTTTTTAATTACACATAATGATGCCCGTATGTGGCCCATTGACCTGGCAATGATGTCCATAGTATATGGTCAGGTTTGTTGTTGCTATTTCACTGTTGTTGTTGTGGCTAAGTGCTGTCAGTGGGCCGCATATGGGCTTCATTATGTTGCTGCTTCACAGAGTAATCTAAATGTTACGATTCCTATGTAAAAGAGGAAGAGGAGGAAGGGAAAGAGACAGAGAGTGGACTTGATGGAAATTTCTTCTCAATTATTTGGGAAGAAATGATCTACCATCATTTTAAGGAGCCTTGGTGGCACAGTGGCTATGCGTAGGGCTGCTAACCAAAATGTCAGGAGTTCAAATCCACAAGTTGCTCTGCTGAAAAAGACGAGACTTTCTGCTACCATAGAGATTTACAGCCTTGGAAACCCTAGACACCATGAATCAAAATTAACTCCACCGCACACCACTACCACCACCACCACCATCATTTACAGATGCAATGGTCAGGGCCCCTTGGACACTGGAAGAAATCAGCCAAGTTTTCTTAATCGCAATTGCGTGCTTTGGTCTAGAGCAACCCATCTTTGTGCTAAGTAAATGGGACAAAAATGAATTGCAACCCAGAGATAAAAGGCCCCAAGGATCCGTGAGAAAGATGGCAACCATCCGGAAGAAAGAAAAATTGGATCTATGTCTTTCTTATACCACAGACTAATGAAAATAAGTTCCAGATGGAGAAAGTCTTCACTGTAAACAATAAAAATCTTACAGGAAAATAAAGACCGTGTCTGCAATCTCAAATTGGCAAAGATCTTTAAAAACACAGAAAATCCAGACATGGAGAGGTAGACAAACAAAATCAGGAAAAAGACATTGGACAATGTAAACATTCTAAAGCTTTGTATTATAATAGATAATAGACGAACAACTTTGGGGGGGAGTCTACAATGCAGAGAAACGAAAGGTTAATGGCTAATAAATATTGAGAACCCTCACAAATCGACAAGCAGACAAATAATTCAACAAGAAAATGAACAAATAATATGAAGCTTTGCAAAAAACATCAAAGCCGAACAAAAACAAACCCGCCACCATATAGAACAGAGCACTGCTCCGCAGCACTTCCCAAACTGGAGCTGCGTATGGGAGCAGGCTCATCGTTCTCCTTCGAAGCAGCTGCTGGGTTTGAACTAATCACCTTACAATTAGCAGCTCAGTGATTAACCCACTGCACCACCAAAGCCAACAAACCTAAACAACAGATATTTGACGCTCACTGGCGAGGAGGGAAATGCACATGAAAGTGGCAGGAGCCATCACTTCCACGCATCGGACTAACAAGAATTTAAAACGACACTAGTGCAAGACTATTGTCCACAAGAAAGAAAAGTCTTGTACATTACTAACAGCAACAGCTCTAAAACCACACACTCAAAATAAACACAGATTCTAGTGTAAACAGCAGCCCAACTCCTGGAAGTCAGATCCTCAGCACGTAAGAAAAGATGCTCCAGATGGTGGCTGCATCCTTGTCCCACACCAGGAAAACTGGGAAGAAAGTCAGCAGCTCTCAGTAGGAAACTTTCTGTCTGCATAACACAAGAGGACGCAAGCACTTAAAGAGAATTAGGAGAACTCTAGCCTGGACATGTGTGTGTGTGTGTGTGGGGGGGGGGGGGGGGGGGGGGGGGGCAGGAGGGAGTGCCAAGAAAGAAAACAAAGAAGGGCGCTACTTAGGATTCCATTAGTTTAAAAACAAATGATGAGTTGGTTCTGACTCATGGCCCCTCTCTAGGGCAGAGTAGAAGTGCTCCAAGGTGTTTCCGAAGCAGCTATGGTAGCGTAGTGGTTATGAAGCGGGCTGCTAAGTTCAAGGTCAGCAGTTTAAAACTACCAGCCGTTCTGTGGGAGAGAGATGAAGCTTTCTGCTTCCATAAAGATTTACAGCCTTGGAAACCCTGTACAGGGTCGCTATGAGTCAGAACTGACTCCACAGCACACAACCAACCAACCAACCATTAAGGAAGCTGACTGTCACATGTTTCTTCCAATGGAGCAGCAGGTGGGTTCAAATTACCAACTATCAACCAAGTGCTCACCCACTGAGCCACCTGGGCTCTTTAATGAAATGTACAGGTGTGTCTGTGTACATGTCTTTGTGAGAAACTGAAGACAAAAATTCCAGGCTGAGCATTCAGGGACATTTAGAAAGTGGAAAGGGCTGTCTGAAGTAGCCTCTAAGGGGGCACCTGCCAACTTTCACCTGCACTATGTAAGCGCTGGACTCTTAGTGTGGTGCTATAGGGTTAGCACTGGTATGCAAACCATCAAGGTTGGCAGTTCAAACCCACCAGCTGCTCCTTGGGAAGTATGCAAAGGGCCACTATGAGTCAGAACTGACTCGACGGCACTTTACAAAAACAAGAAGTAAGCGCTGGACTGTGAAGCTCAAGGTGAGCAGTTCAAACCTGCCAGCTGCTCCTCGGAAACCCTATATAGGGTCGCTGTGAGTCAGAACCAACTCAAGAACACACCACAACGACAAGCATAATTGAAATCTTTCAAGAAAGTGAGGCGGCACAGGAAGCACTCACTCATCTATGCAAAGAAATTTGGAAGACAAGTATCTGGCCAGTTGATTGGAAGAGATCTGTATTTGTGCCCATTCCAAAGAGAGGTGACCCAACGGAATGCGGAAATCATCGGACAATATCTTTGATATCCCATGTAAGTGAGTAAAGTTTTACTAAAGGTAATACAGAAATGGCTGCAAGCATACATCGACAGAGCACTTCCAGAGGTTCAAGCTGGATTCAGAAGAGGCTGTGGAATGAGGGATATCATTGCTGATATAAGATGGCTCTTGGCTGAAAGCAGAGAATATCAGAAAGATGTTTACCTGTGCTTTATTGACTATGCAAAGGCTTTCAATTGCGTGGATCATGAAAAGCATGGACAACATTGTTAAGTATGAGTAATCCTGAACACTTAATTGTGCTCATGAGGAATCTGTACATGGACCAAAAGGCAGTTGTTCGAACAGAACATGGGAACACTGAATGGTTTAAAATGAAGAAAGGTGTGCGACAGGGTTGTGTTCTCTTACCATACTTATTCAACCTGTATGCTGAGCAAATAATCCGAGATGCTACGTTATATGAAGAAAAACGTGGCATCAGAATTGGAGGAAGACTCATTAACAACCTGAGATATGCAGATGAAACAACCTTCCTTGCTGAAAGTGAAGAGGACTTGAAGTATTTACTGATGAAGATCAAAGAGCACAGCCTTAGGTATGGATTGCATCTCAGTGTAATGAAAACAAAAACCAATAAACAACATTCGTACCAGTGGAGAAAAGATTGACATTGTCAAGGACTTCATTCATCTTGGATCAACTATCAACACTTATGGAAGCAGCAGTGAGGAAAGCCAACGACATATTGCATTAGGCAAATCTGCTGCACAAGACCTTTTTAAAGTGTTGAAGAGCAAAGATGTCAGCTTGAGGACTAAGGTGCACCTGAGCCAAATCATGGTATTTTCAGTAACCTCATATGCATGCAAAAGCTGGACAGTAAATAAGGTAGACCGTAGAAGAACTGATGCTTTTGAGTTATGGTGTTGGAGGAGAATATTGAAAGTGCCATGGGCTGCCAAAAGAACCAACAGATCTGTGTTGGAAGAAGTGCAGCCAGAATGCTCCTTGGAGGCCAAGATGGCCAAACTTCATCTCTCATACTTCAGACATATTGTCAGGAGGGACCAGTCACTGGAGAAAGATATTATATTTGGTAAGGTGGAGGGTCAGAGAAAAAAAGGAAGACCCCCAGAAAGATGGGCTGGCAAAGTGGCAGCACCAGTGGTCTCAAGTGTGGCAGCAATTGTGAGGTTGTCCCAGCACCAGGCAGTGTTTCGTTCTGTTGTACATAGGGTCACTATGAGTCGGTACTGACTCAGTGGCACCTAACAACAACAACAACACTCTTACAGAGCACTGGTAGCACAGTGGTTAAGCACTCAACTATGAACTGAAAGATTGGGGTTTGATGTAGAAAGATGTAGCAGTCTGTTCCCCCAAGGATTGGAAACAGTCTGGGAAACCCTATGGGGCAGTTCTCTTCTGTCCTATACAGTCGCTATGAGAGTTGGAATTGACTTGTTAGGCCTGGCTTTTGGATAACTGTGTTCCCACATACTTTTGTATCCCACCCTTTATATAACTTATTACTATGCACTTTCCTACTTAAAACAAATGTATGAATATCATTTTTAATGGCTATAGAACATTTCATCCTATCAACCAGGTTTCCATTGCAGAGGCTTTTCAGTTCTGCAGGTCTGAGGATTAGAGACTACTCTGAAAACAACTTTCTGCAGATTGCTACGAGGAGAACCTGATGGGAACCTGGACATCCTTGAGCTGAGCAGGCTCCACACAGGTGGTCTCCAAATCACCGGGTTCCAAGCAGGGCGCCTCCAGGCTGCAGGTGCAGAGCATGAGTGCAGCAGCAATTCCAACTGTCAGCATCCACCTCTGGGTCTTGAGGGTAAACCTTATGAGAAAGGATCTATTTACCTGCTATCGGAATCAGAGGCGATCTCCTTTCTCCCTCCAAAGCGGATCTGGCACTGCACAGAGAAAGAAGATCAGCTGTGAGGGGCGGACCACATGAGACTGTGGGGTCAGAAAGGATGACTCGGGACCAGAGATGCCAGGTGCTGAGTTAGGGCATGATCGGGCTCTGGGTATCACTCCAAGACTTAAAGGGGTGAACAGCCCAGTCTGCTAGTCCCTTATTATTTCAGGGGAGGCTTAGCTCCTGGTTGTTACCACAGTACGCCTGGCGGAAAAACAACACCAAGAGGAAAACCAGACACACAGGCTCCTGCACGTGACCTAGGAAGTGTCTTATACTCACCTGGAGCAGACAGTCTATAACACAGAGCTCTGAGCAGGCGATCATGAAAACGTCTGCAAATCTGCAATGACGCTTCCCTTTGACGATGGCATGAATCACTTCAGATAAGTCACTGGGTTGTGCCGAGTGACAATCTGTCAGAGGTGGGTGAGAAAGAGACCCGACTACTCTTTCAAAGGTACTGTGTCTCAACAGTGGGTGATGGGCTTGCAATATTCCTGAACTGATTACCAAAGCATATATATAGCATTTTAAATGAAACATCTGTCAAATCTCATAGACTTGAATATTTTCAATCGGTGGGTTTCTGTTCTGTATAAATTATGCCTCAACAAGGTTGATCTTTCAAAGGTGTAGACACCACTTTCACCCCCAAAAATAATAATGATAATAATCAGGTGAGCCCCAGGGAAAGGCTCCAGTTCCTTTCTGATTAACTGTCACAGTAAAGTGGCTCAATTAGTCTCTTCACCTCTTCGTCCTATTACCAGTTCTGAAGCCAAGACAGACAGAACTAATGATGTGGGCTCCGTAATTAAGTTGCTGGGAGGTGCAAAAGGTTAGGTGTTCCATGACTAACCAAAAGGTTGTCAGTTCAAGCCTAGTCGGAGGGGCCTCAGGAGACAGCCCTGGAAACCCTATGGAGCTGTTCCACTCTGCATGCGTCACGTCATCGTGACACAGAACGGCCTCGGTGGCAGCTAACAACAATGACCACCAAAGAACTATTACTAATAGTAATGCAGAGCCCTGGTGTGGTATGATAAGCACTGGACTGGTAAACTGTAAGGTCTGCAATTCAAACCCACCCAGCCCGCTCTTGGAGACCTGAAGCAGGGTCTCTATGAATTGAAACCAACTCAACAACACTTAACAACAACAACAACAACAATAATGTGGGCTTTGAACTTCCCATGACACACGTATGGGCCAGGTCAATATTGGTCTGAAAAAGCAATGACTGCGGTTGAGTCAACTGTGACTCGTGGGACCCCCTGT